AATGTGTCAGATCGACCGGAGTTAAACCACGTTCTTACAAAATACCAGTGTAAATTGCAGCTTAATGCTATGGTATTCAATCAAAATTGGTAAACGCTGGCAAATTATTCCACATTTTTGCTCTACGCATTAAGAAAGACATATTAACATAAAAATAGCAGCATAATACTGCTGTGCTTCGTATGACGAGAACCGGACATTATCTTTTACTGGTAACCGGGCACTTTATTTGAATCCTCTATCTGGTTTTTTTATAGAATTATTAAAGAGAAAATGAAGAGTAAATAAATGTGAAGTCCGCCAACACACATCAACACAGCGCGACTGACAGATAGACAGAAATACAGAGAATGGACATTCACAATAAAGATACTATACTTTTTTATGTGATAGAATCACGCTGCAGCTATATTATTATGGTTGTAGCAGGAATAGGTCGGCTCGACCACACTCGACGACCACGCTCTCACAGAATGCCAGCGTAAAATAGCAGCGTAATGCTGCTTTGTTTCGTATGGTGAGTGTAGAGAACCGGACACCCTATTAACCGGAATCGAAGCATTCCATCTTAGTCCTCAGGGGTGAAAACGCATTTGCAATTTGATTTTAAAATATTAATTGAGGATAAAATGTATGGGATTGTATGGGTCTCAACATCCACTTACCATCAGATACGCTGTGCGCTCGTTTGTCACCTAACGCTATAAAAATTGATAGCAAATTCTGTATTTTACTAATATTTGTGATGACAGCTATGGGTAGAGCAACAATAAAACAAGCAAATTTATGAGATTAATGGACAAATATGCATATATGAGAGGGTGCATGCGTGTGTGCGTGCGTGTGCACATACGTGCGTGCGCACATACGTGCGTGCGAGTTTGTTTGTGTTAATATTAAAACAACTTGGTTCCATTAAACTCAGGGATTATTTATATGCCATTAAGACATTAGCAACTATTAGGATTGACTCAACAAATTGAGTTGAAACAAAACACAAATAATAATAATAATAATACTTTATTTTCACAACTTGCATAACTCACATTTATAAATAACTATTCTATGATTTATACTTAGTTCACAAATAATAATATTAGAATAGAGAACGATTCCAAAATGAATCTACGCTATATTTTATCTTAGAAACTTTAAGATTGTTTTTGAAAAGACGAAAAAATAAATCATAATAACGTCACGTTATTACATTATCCAAGCAAAGCCGGGATGGGTCACTGGTATATTGATACCACATAATCGTGATATATGATACTTAAGTAAAAAATTAATTACTATTTGAACCGACATACTAACAGAGTAATACCAAAAACAGAGGCTGAGAGAACAAGACTGTTCCGACGAAAACGAACATTTGCTTCTAATACGTAGGTTGCTACAATTTTACTTTACTTTTTAATTAAAATTAACATTGAAATTGAATGCAGCTATTAAAATACGTGTTTGTATAACTTAGGTTTGTAACTGTGACCTAAATCTATGACGCCGTCACGACTTTATCCTTTATTAATGTCAAGTATAATAAATCAGAGTAAATTATATAGTACTCTTATATTTCTGCATTATCGTACCTATAAAGGGCACAAAGTGCATGCCTGGGCATTTAATAAGTTTAAATAATCTTCCGCTTACCAGATGTCCTCACTCCCCAGTAAGGACTCAGGTCGCACAGAGCAACATCATTGAAAAGTTGCGTTTCAAATAAAAGTTTTTAAAATGTACATTGCACGATCTTTTCATACATCAATATACCTAGCATTTTGTGAATATTTTCTAACACACTCTGGATTATTGTATTTTTATAATATCTATATATTATCTTATCTATTTTACTTCTATTGGCTAGAACTAAAATAAATATATATCACTACCTAACTCACTGTATACACAAATAAATAAATGAATAAAAAGAAGAAGAAAAGAAAATGAATGAATGTATGTAATTAATCTCTTTAATTTTTTGCACATCTTTTTAAATATAATAATTTAATTCTTCTACTTTTAGAAATATTCATAGTTTGTTTTATTTCATTTCTAATTCAATAAATTAAAAATTTTACTAAAATTTCAGATAGAAATAATAATATTTACACTTTTCTAACAATTTAACTTACCCGCCACGAAATCTGTCAAATATTTCAATTAGTAGAAAAATTACATTCTATTAACAAATGTTTCTATTTTTTTTACATTTTGAAATCGTAGTGTAGATTGCCAGTAATATACACTTTAAAAGTTCAAGTAAAAATCATTATAGTGGCGGTGTAGCTTTTCTAAAAAATAAAAATTGTTGGTGAAGCAACTTCTTTTACAACCATTGCAAATAAAAATAATTGGAAACTACTAATTGGGCAGAAGCCAACGCCTACAGTTGCTTATTTTGCACTAACATTTAACAGTTACAAAAAAGATAAAAGTAATTTTCATCATGCCAGATCTTCATTACATTTGCGTTCAATGAACTCGCGTGCAATCAATCGTATTAAAGTTTTAAAACGTTTCATTTCGTGCTCATGATATTATTATTATTGGGTGATAAACATATGATTAAAATTTTAAAATCTAAAAGATTTATCGTGATAATAAATTAATAATTTGTAAATGCGGGTGGGGCGTAGGCCGCCCGTCGAGCCAACCGAACGTGACCTGACGTCAGCGCCTAATTTCACCGAAGTTTTGACTTATATTGGGAGTCGAATATCTTCATATTTTACTCATTAGCAAAATTGTACGGATATACAACATGTTACAAAAACCCTGTGGTTCCCGTTAAGTGCGTTATCAAAACCAGTACTCAAACGTATAGAAATAACTTTACTTCAGAAAACTCTACCATAAAAAATTTCACTAAGCTTAAATAATTTTTTATATGGAAATTGTTTGTGGTTGAGAAGTAGGTACCTCTGAATTCACTTCGGGAAAAGAGTATTGCCAAAGACCCAGCTTTGCCGATGCAAGTGTCCGAGGTAAAAATACCTGAAAACCACATACATTTTGCAAATGAAGATTAATTTAATTTAATTTATTTATGGTCGAGTTTCTTGAAATAAAATTATTTTCATAGGTTTGAATACTGAGTTTGACAATTCAGTTAACGCGGCGCACAGCGTTTTTGTTACATATTGTATATATACGCTTGAAGTCTTGACGAGTATGCTTACCTAGAAGATATTGTCGGACTGGGTAATTCCCACTTAAAACAAGAAGAGAAGAGAAGAGGTCAATCGATGAAACTAGCTTAACTGGTCAAAGTTCTCAAAATTATGACGTTTTTCCGACACTTATTCCCCAAAATATTAAAACAAGAGAGTACATCCAGTGCGTGTAACTAGTGACGACATATGGATATATGTACGTATACGTGGTAGAGCCACGCTGCAGCTATATTATGGTTGTAGCGGAAATGGGTCGGCTCGACCGAGGAAGGACCACGCTCACGCTCTCACAGAATACCAGCGTAAAATAGCTGTTCAATAACTGCTATGTTTCGTCCTCATGGGTGACAACGCATCTGCGTTTTGATTCTTAATCGAGGATAAATGTAGATGTCTATGGGCCACAGCATCCACTTACCATCAGGTGGATTGTGTGCTCGTTTGTCACACTTATTCTATAAAAAAATGGTCCTTCACTGCTGGCCGTATGGGGATGCTTAAGATCCCTCGGCGTGCTACGAAGAGAGCTATGCTCAGCAAGCTACAAGCTACTGTTTCTAACTTAAAGACGTTCTGTTTTTATAAAACTGAATAAACAAACAAGCTTACAGTGTACCCGATGGTAAGAGGCATCTGTTTATGGACACCTACAGCCAAACAAAAAAAATACACTGAGTCTCTATACCTTCAGAGGAGGACACAGCAGAGCAAGCGCTGCTATTCAGCAGCAAGAATGAGTAACTGAGTGGTTCCTATTCTGGCGGAATTCTAGACAGAGTAGCAGTCCTTCCACCTGCAGGTTGTTGTTGTGATATGAGGCAGTAGTTCCTCCATCTGTGGGATAGCACACATCCTCGATCCAAGCTTTCAAAACCCACGGGACCTGGTTATCTTATTCATAATTAGAAACATTTTATTTAAACATGCATGAGTTATACTCGTACTTAATTAATTTTCATATAATTAGTTATTGTATTGATGTTTAATTGTTTCTCTTATAAATCATATTTTATTTATATTATTTAAATACTTTATTATACTAACCATAAAAGTTTTAAAGGGCGGGCTTAATGCCAGGTAACAATCTCTGCCTGTCAACCCATGGCGTGGTGAGAAATTAGTGGCAGGTGACTTAAATAACTAAATATAATAAATTTATATAGAACACATACCTGTAAAAATAAGCCTAATGCATATGAATATAAACAAATATATAATAATCCATATATAACAATTATCGGTAATACATATATACATACACACATACTATATATATTATGGTATGTCTGGATAAAGGTAGCAGTACTAAATTGACATTGTAGCCTGAACAGTACCTAAAGGAATTGCCGATAAAATCAGTAAAATGGAGTGGAACTGAAATCTTCAGATTAGTTGAAGAGCGAAGTACCCTATCGTAGTTGGAGGAAAAGTATCGAAATCTTTCAGGTAGGAAGGGGAGGACAAATCATTTAAAATCACTTCGGTTCAAGATTTCTTATCAGACACACGTCTATACTTCGCTTCTAAACGTTTTAGTAAAAATATAAGTACCATTGTCAACATCCATTACCAAGTGTTCCTCAAACTTATAGAATATTTCCTACTAACTTCAATATGGTGGTGTGTGGTAAATGTTGTGAGGAAGTGTCTAGTAACTAGTGTAAGTTCTTCGATTACCCATGTTCTGGGATAACTGAAATTGGCTATCGCAAGCTAGGAGATAGACAGTCATCGTGGCGCTGTGTTTACTGTAAGACGTCTCAACAATCAACCCGGCCTGGATCACCACCTCCTGAAACTACACGTCAACCTACTCTTGATAATGTTATGATTGAACTGCAGAAGCTTTCGTGCCAATTACTGCCCCTTCAAGAAGTCATCAATGATATTCGAATAATCAAAAACGATATTTCAGATCTACGTAAATCTAAAAACAATATGTTAAAAAAGCTTGATAACTTTGAAAAAAGACTTCAAGTAGTCGAAAATGCTGAGCAAAAAATATCGTCCCTAAAGGAACAGATAAACAAGATGGAAGCAGAAATTAATGAAAAAGATCAGTGGCTTCGATCAAATAACGTCGAAATCAAGGGAGTACCATTTAAACCTGGGGAGAATCTTTTTGATATTGTAACTAAATTAGGATCTATAATAACCTATCCTGTGTTGAAGAGTAACATTAATTATGTAACACGTGTCCAGACGCGAGATGCTGGGTCGAACAAGACCAAGCCTATTATTCTTTCCTTTATCAACAAATATATGAAAGAAAACTTCATCGCAGCTTCTCGCCTGCATAAACATATTTCTACGGAAGATATTGTCTAAAAGGAAACACCCGTATTTACATAAATGATCACCTTAGTTATTCCAAAAAGATGAAAAGATGAAGATGATGAAGAAAAGAAAAAGATAAAACTGCTGCAAAAGAAAAAAACTACAAATACGTATGGGTCAAGCACGGGAAGATATTTGTGAGGAAAATCGATACATCGCAAGTCTACAATATAAAATCGGAATCGGACCTAGTCTAGCTGCGTTAACTTATAAATACTCCTTTGTTTATTTATTACTTTTAAGTTTCTGGTGTCATTTAGACATTTACATATATTTTTCAACAGCCAAACATAGTTTGAGAACCGGTGTTTCTTTCCGCCTTATCACAGTCTTTTGTCTGCAGTTACGCCTAATACCCACCTGTTTAAATTGTTGTTTGCATGCAATTTGTGTTCCTATTATCTTTATACCAGAGATCACTTCTCACACTGCAACTGTAAGTAAACACGATCGGTTCCATATTAATTTATTTTCTAATAACCACTTACGCTATTACCATTTATTGCTTTTGGTTATATTTTCTTATATATCGGGTCGCCTTTTCCTTCTCAGCGCAGTAAACAATACTTATAACGATGTCACTTGTTTACTACCGTTTTATTATATAGTAGTATATTATATATTTTGTGAATTTTATAAAGTAAAAGTATCTAGTGGCTGTAATTATATTACATTGTTAATTACTCGTATTACTAATCTTAGCTATTCAATTTATTCATTTGTATTTTCACAAGTAATATTCTACACTAAAGCCGTGAATTTCGACAACCGCTTTAATTTCTGTGTATTGCCGCTTATAGTACCAAACTTGGTTTATAAAACAAATGTACTTATTGCATATTATTTTCATATAAGATGGTATAGGAAAAAATAGTTAGTTATTACCGTGCACTTTTGGTGCTTTCAATAAGTGTACATGACACAATTTTAATGCTTGAAATCTTATTTATAACTTTTTATTTAGTTGTTACCGTATATTTATTTTTTACACGAATAACCAACAAATACTTTATCTGGCACTATAAGTTGAATTTCTTATGTATAAATTTTATTCTTTTATTCGTATTGAATGTTTCAAATAATCGTGATGGCTTCCTTACACGCTTACTACCAAAATGTTAGGGGCCTTAGATCGAAAACTCATGAGTTTTATCGTAATGTTGCAATTAACAACTATGATCTTATCTCATTAACTGAGACCTGGTTATTGGATGGCATATTTGATGCGGAATTATTCGATGATCGTTATTGTGTTTGGCGTCGCGATCGTGATCTTAATCGAACTAAACAATCGCGAGGCGGTGGTGTGCTTATAGCGGTAAGCAAGAACATCGTAGCGGTAGACAAACCTGACTGGCGTTCCTCAGCTGAAGATGTCTGGGTTTCATTGACGCTATCATGCCCTCGCTCTAAGCGCCACATAAAACTTAACATATGTACTGTATACCTTTGTAATGAAAATATGGGTGCTTCCTTCTCTGATCAAGTTATTAACTTTTGCAATACATTAGAGTCACTTATATCAGCAAATCCTAATGACAAATTCCTCATTATAGGCGATTTTAATATGAGTTCTATTTTCTGGTCTAATACTCAAACAGGTCTCGAAGCTTGCGGTGCTAAAGGTGAACATGTGCAATATTTTATTGAAACTTTAAATTTCTGTAACTTGCAATAATTTGAGCGTACAACATTGTTATGATCTCGTTTTATCCAATGACTATGTAAAAGTTGAACACTGCCAAGACCCCTTGGTGCCGGAAGACCAGCATCACAAAGCTTTATCAATTTGTGTTAACTTTGTCGAGCTTCAGTCCCTTCCATACTCTAAACATGTCTCATTCTCTTACAGTAAGGGCAATTATGATATAATAAACTTAGACATAGGTTCGACTAATTGGGACGAAATTCTTAGTAGTGGTAACGTTGATGATGCGGTTAATACTTTTTACAACATAATATCTAATATTCGTGATAAATATGTTCCCCCGTCATTTAAACACAAAAGAAAATATCAACCATGGTTTAACCATGCACTTATAAAATTAATTAATGAAAAAAATAAGTATCGTAAGAAGTTTAAAGTGTACGGTAATTTAAGTGATAAAAATACATTTATCTTATTAAGAGAAAGGGTAAAGAGAATTGAGAAAGATCTGTATGGCAAATACATTTGTAATGTTGAAGATAGCTTAAAAAGTCATTCTAAAATGTTTTGGTCCTATATCAGAAATAAAAAGAATAATATTTCATATCCTTCTTGTATGACGTACTCTGGTATATCTGCTAATTCAGGAGAAGATATTAGTAATCTCTTTGCTCAATATTTTAATTCTAACTTCATTCAATCTATTAACTCAACAGTAAACCTAAATAATATAGCTGCCATAACTTCTAATGATATCTCTTCAATCGAAATTAGTTTTTGTGAAGTAAAAAGGTTGCTAAAATCACTTGACTTAAACAAATCAGCTGGTCCTGACGGGATTCCGGCTATTTTCCTAACTAAGTGTGCCGAAACTATATCTAAACCTTTATCATTTATTTTTAAAAGATCTATTTCTGAGGGTTCAATGCCTGCAAGATGGAAATCCGCATTTATAACTTCCATTCATAAAAAAGGTGCTAAGAATCAAATTGAAAACTACCTTCCTATATCAAAATTAAGTCTAATCGCCAAAGTATTTGAAAGAATTGTATATAACCAGTTGTATCCTGCAATTAAACATACCATTATACCTCAACAGCACGATTTTCTTCAGAAAAGATCAACTACGTCTAATCTTTTGCTATTTACGGACTTTATTACTTATAACATGGATAAAGGAAACCAAATTGATGCCATTTTCACGGACTACAGCAAAGCATTCGATCGCATAGACCATTCTATACTTCTGCAAAAATTATCTGCTGCTGGTATCAGGGGCGATCTGTTTAGATGGTTTACGTCTTATATTTCTAACAGATCACAAGCGGTAATTTTAAACGGATTTACATCTTGCTGGGCTGGTGTCCCTTCTGGCGTTCCGCAAGGTTCGCTACTTGGCCCTCTGCTCTTTGTCTTATTTATCAATGATATTGCTAAATGCTTCCAGAACTCCGAGTTTTTGCTTTTCGGGGATGACATGAAAGTTTTTAGAGTAGTCAACAACTCTTATGATTCTAATCTCCTACAAAACGATCTTATTAACTTAGATAATTATTGTATCCGTAACAAATTAGACTTGAATGTTTCGAAGTGTAATACTATGTCTTTCGGGCGGAAGCGTGATATACTTTATTTTTCTTACACACTTAAAGGTTTGACAGTTACTAGCTGTGATAAAATAAGGGACCTTGGAGTTACTATTGATACTAAGGTTTTGTTTGATCAGCGTGTGGAAGATATCGTTAATAAAGCATATAAGGCTCTGGGTTTTATTTTAAGGTCTTGTTGCAAATTCCGTCAGTTAAAATCAATGAAAATATTGTTTTGTTCTCTTGTTCGTAGCCATCTCGAATATGCGTGTCAAGTATGGAATCCTCAATATAAAATATATATTAACAAAATCGAAGCGATTCAAAAAAAAATTCATTCGATATGTAGGTTCTAAATTTCATATATCCAAAGGAGGCTACGAATTGCAGTGTTCTCATCTTCATCTCCTCCCGCTGCAAACTAGGCGCTATACAGCTGACCTGGTCTTACTAAGTAAAATTGCTCAAGATCGTTTAGACTGCCCTGACTTATTAAAAAGATTACATATCTCAGTTCCCTCTCGTTCACTGCGCTATTACAATCCCTTACATGTTTCTTTATGTAGATCAAATTACAGGCGAAACTCATTCTTCTTAAGAGCATGTAACTCATTTAATAAATTTTCTAAGGACTGTGATAAGGCTGACCTCTTTTCTACTAGTGGTACTACTATCTGCAAATTGATAACATCTGAATTCAGTAGCAATTTACTCTTGAACTCTTAAACCTAATCAACACCAATGTATAAATTATATCTACTTATATATGTTGCATGTATTTACTCAAACCGATTACTCATCTGTGAAAACTTTTAATAGGCATACTTTGTAAATTATATTATATACCTTATAGTATTAATTAAAAGCTGTAAGTTTTCCTGTTATAAATAAATAAATAAAATAAATAAAAATAGAGTAGAGAACAGACAGCCATTAAAGGCGAATACGACGTTGAGAGGTACGGTCACATTTTCGAAAGCCGAAAATAAACCTGTGTTAAGATATAAATATGAATAAATCATTATATATTATACCTCCGAAGTAGTGTTCTCTGTTCATTTAGTAGTAGTAACACATGTTGACTGGTAGAGAATAATTTAAGGTGTTTGGTTCGCCTTTGTACATTTTTGTGCAACGAAGTTTAAATAAATAAATAAAATAAATAAATCCATTATAACATTATGTTTGTTAGCGCACTGCTAAGTTTCGCCTACCGATGCATGGTCATGAATGAAACGTAATATCGAAGACCTTGTCAACTCATGATAATAATTTCCTCGTAACCTGAGTCAAGGAGGCGACTGCAACTAGTTTTTCATTGGCGGCAATAGTACTGCGATTACAGTAAATAATTTTGTTGTAATTTTTTAAGTTTACACTATTTCTATATATTACGTTATTTCTATATATTAAACGAAACTTAATTTTAAGTATTTAACCCCGTTTAATTAGTATACTTTAGTTTTTTTTTCAATCGGGAATATTATTCTTGAATATAACTTTTATTTATTCCACAATGTTTAAACAACACGTTTCGAGTGTATGTTTAAATTCAATAAGTTAAAAAAAAACTATATACGTCAAAATCCGTTTTTATCGGTAATATTTATTAACATTTTTTTATTCTATAGATTACAAGAATAGTTATTCAAAGTCATTTGAGCTTTATTACTGATTCGAAAGCTCTGACCAGGGAAGGAACCCAGTGGCACTTTACAATAATATAATATTTTATACAATTAAATACGAAAACA